CTTGTCAAGTGTTTGTATTGGGTATGCTTCTCCCCCCATTGATGTATCTTGACGCGTTTTGTTTCTTAGCTTTTATGTTGGTAGATTTTTGCGACCGCTTGTTATTGTAATCTTTTCCTTTTATGAAGATTTACATATATACTCTTCAATTCTTATATATTTACATATCTAACACCTGAGCTTTATTTTTTACATATATGACACCTTACCTGTGCATCAAAAGTTAAGGTGTGTTTCACTTTTCAAAAGTTAAAATAATGGTATTTTTATGTGATGTAAAAAATTTGGGTGGTATAAATTTAAAACATAAAGTTTAGATGTTAGATATGTAAATACACAACGTTTGAGTGACATCTATGTAAATGCCTCTTTCGTTTATTGGTAATAAAATTGCATCGCTTTAAAATAAGGGTGAGTTAACTAAGTTTTATTCAGACCAGTAAGCTTTTTAAAGCCACCAGCTATTAATGCTATTGGCAGGTTGTGAGTTTAGTTGTAAACATTTTTTTCTGGATCAAACTCCTAAAGTTAGATTTTTTACATTCGACTAAAATCTTTTATATAAAAATACCACTAATACTAACATTTAAAAAGTTGCACATTTTCATTTATAGATTGTAGTGTGGACGTAAAAAATTGAAGTTTAGGTATCAGATATATATAAAGACATAGGAATTGTATGGTATGTATGTAAATCTTCCTCTTTTTTAGGTCAAGAATTGTATAGTATCAAATATGACTGACGGTTGGATATTTTGCAGGATGATTGTGAAATGCATTTATACTATTTTTAGCACAATTCAACTCCCAATTCCTATAATTTTCAGACGACACTACCAGGAATTCAATCCTAACACACCCACTCAATCCATGCATCGAAGAACAGCTCAAAACAATTCAACTAATATAGGTTGGCCGTCCCCCTCGCCCGGCCCCCCGCTTCCCCACCCAAATTGTCAATATTTGCAAATTAAACTTTGATCCATCTTTTGATACTTTTGAACAGGAATGAGGATACCCAATATCCCATTTGAAGGAGACAACTACTATTCTACATTTCACAAAACACCTGAAAGGAAGATATTCAGAAAGGAAGAGTGGGAAGCATTCACTAAAGAAGAAACGACAAAAGCTCTGAGGGAATTAGTCTCATCCCCTGATTTCGGTACCTGGGCTGCAGAAAATGCTGAAAGAATCACTCTCACTCCTCCAGCTGAGGCCAGAAGCATAAAAAGGCGACGCCTTTTTGGATGGTGGTCGTAATAATTCTTTCTGAATAATCAGGTAATCATTTTGTATAGTATTAACTAGATAAATTTGTTATGAATGTTTTAATGTAGGTTTTCTTCATGTGTAGTGTATGTTTGTAATCCATTTTTTTTACATTGAAAAGCCTGTTATTGGTTCAGATTGTGTTTTTCTAGAGCATTGTACTGAGAGATGATGTTGTTTCTCTTTAGTTAGATGTTACCAATCACATTAGTGATTGAAATTGATTTATCTTTAGGAGGCTTATTGTATGTGTGTTGGTTGGCACTTGGTGCCCCATCAAGTCTTCCAATTTCCAAACTTAGGTAGACCATGAGTATTATCATGTCTCTTGTTGGTTCACGATTTGAGTGAGAGTTGAGAATTGTGGGGCTGGAGTGCAGTAGGTTTGATGGTTCAATTCGCCGGCGAAAAATGGTTTGCCTGATTTGTCTGTTGTTGAGGATTTTGATTGGCATTTACATGGATCCCACACAATTCCAATGTATTTTGACATCAAATATGTGAAGTTTGATTTGTACATTTATACTACCCACATCTTCCATATGACATTAAGAATATCAACCATTTAAAAATGATTCAACTTTTCAAGCAGGTGGTGGTACATATGTAAAAATTGAAATTTAGGTGTTAGATGTGTAAATATAGATGAATTGAGTTGTGTATGTAAATGATTCAAAATTAAAAAAAAATGCCATTTAGAAATTGCATGTGCTTTTGCTCTGACAATTTTTAATACAAATTGAAATGAGTTGGAAATGAAGAAAACATGAATATAATGTGGCAACCGGCTGAGACATTTTTTATTGCATGAGAGTTTTGACCCTATCAAACCTTCAAAACAGGGCATAAACTTTTTGAAATATATCAGTTTGCTGCACTAATGAAATCACGGATAATATTAGCATGCCAAAAGGATTTAATAATTGTAACTACGAATCATTGCCTGTGGGAAGCAAATATGCTGTAACTAGTCAAAATATACGTAAAAATAAAATAGCTTTTAGCTTAAACTTATCTCGGAGAAGCAATTAATCCCAACAAATTCAGACATTATCCAAAAGTTTAAAGCTTCTGTTTCATTAGTTTTCTTGTTAAAATAGAACTGTAGTTAAACCTTATTCAAACAAATTCATTAGACATGATGTTAGCTGTTAAAAATAAAAAATAAACCTTCATACTCTATATAATTGAATTTATAAAATTTAAACAAAATATAATTTATCATGTATAACTTATATCATTTGATATGTTCGACTATTAATAATATATGCACACTAAATTGATATTTTATTTGATATTTTTAAAACGATATACAATATTGGAAAACAGGGAATAATATAAAGTCCAGAAACATGCAATCAGTTAGAAAAACGAGCCAAATCCCACACAATGAAGTTCAACAATCAGCTAAATAGTACAAAACTCTCACAAAGTTCAATCGGCCATCCTCAATTTACCAATACAAATTGGTTCATAAATGCACCAAAAAAAAAAAAAGAAGACATAATCTTAGTTCATAATCAATATAACATTCTCAATGTAAAGGATGAAAATGCTCATAAAAGACAAAAAACAAAAAGCGATACGAACAGTGATCTGCACTGCATTATCTCTGCAAAATTCAACAAAATTAAAGCAAATTAGTGAAATGAATAAGGAGAAAAAAAAGATAATTCCTAACTTTAATATAAAAATTACATGGCCAATAAAACAATTTAAACTGGGAGAATAAACTTATAGATTTTGTTAAATGCCACAATATCACAACTCTGGATGAACTCATTTGCAGGTTCAGTGGTGAGGTGATCCTCAATCAGGCTGTCAACAGACACCAAATCATCCACAATGGTCATCATAATCTGCAATTTCTTTATTCCATATCCAACTGGAACAAGCTTTGCTGCACAATTACAAAAACAAGAAAAATCATAACATCATCATTTTAATTTTGTTTCCATTTGTAAAGTAGCTTTGCAACGAATCGAGGAAACTAGCGCATATAAGGATGACTAGTAGAATCAACATGTTTCCGTCATCCCAAGTTATCAGACATCAATCTACTTGAGAACACAAGTCTATCCAACTTAGCGAGTACCTTCCATTACATTGTTCAAAAAGACGCCGTAGATTTATCCAGAAGACAACATACATGTCCTATACTCAATTTAGTTAAAAAACTCGTTATTGGTTTTAATAGATGTCAATTTGATACTACTTATAATCCTTGTATTGGATCAGGACTTCCACTAAATCCATCTAAATGTTCTAGACCCACCTAAGAAGGTTTAGGTAGATGATATTAAATATTGAACTTGCTGGGGATAAATGGTGCCCATAAAAACATACTCAATATATATTAAATTTATAAAATCAAACGGAAAAATATTGCCGGGCAATCTGCTGATATGGTTTATATGCATGCCATCCAATGGACAATGTATTTACACATCTAACACCAAAACTTTGCTTTTTTTACATTTCTACCACCTAAATCTTCCAAATCACATCAATAGTACAATTATTTTAACTTTTAAAAACTGAAATCCAGCTTTTCGTATATGGATAAAATGGGATATATGTAAAAATTAAAGTTTTAAGTGCTAGATAAGTGGTCTGCATGCAAATCTTCCATCAATCAAACTAGAAAATATAACATGAACAGCAGGAGAACTGGTCACTTACAGGCTCCCCAAAGCAAGCCTTCCATTTGAACATTCCTGACTGCTTCTTCAAGCTTTTGCATGTCAGTCTCATCATCCCATGGCTTCACATCCAATAAAACTGATGATTTTCCACCTGTTTTCATAAAATATATTAAAATAACAATTTGAGCACAGAACAGAATTATCAAAATGTAAAATCTACAATTATTGAAGGTTCTTCATACTTCAGAATAAACAAAATTTTAACGAAAAACGAGCTAAGCTTGCTCTCTTTCTTCTTTCCAGATGCTTTCACCGCAGCTGCGCGCTCCTCAGCAGCCTTCTTCTCTTCCTCAGTCTCCTCGCCAAATAGATCAACATCATCGTCATCATCATCAACAGCTGATGAGGCCTACAGTTCAAGGTAAACAATTAGACGAGAATCCAGCACAGCTCAATTACACATCTAACATCTAAACTTTACTTTTTTTTTTATTTTATACCACCCAAATCTTTCATATCACATCCAAAGTACCATCATTTAAACTTTTAAAAAGTGAATACACCTTTTCATGTATACGGTGCGATGCATTTGAAAACTAAAGTTTAGGCGTTAGATATGTAAATACACAAGAATTGAGTGATGTATGTGTCTAAATCTTCCAAATTTGAAGTCGTGGTACTGTTTCAGAGATTAATCTGATAATTAATCTTCAAGTTAATAAAAGAAAACTTGCAAAAAAAATTTTTATTTTAAAAAAATAATATATTCTTAAAAAAAGTCATACCTTAATCAAATATAATCAAATCAATACATAAGCAAGATAAATCAAAAGTGATCCCAAATGGCCCCTAAACATACTGAAAAGATCAATTATGTTGAATAATATACCGCAACCTCAACAGGGCCTCAATGTGATTATACCATCTTGACACATTAACATAATCAGATGGAGCGCCAGAAAGTTCAGCATGCACGGCAATGTCATCCTTCGAAGCTTGGTAGCTGATTAATTTTTATTCAATTATCAATGAATCAAAAAAAAAAAAAAAAAAACTAGGGAGAGCGAAAAAAATTCATAGATGGGGATCAAGAAGAAAACCCTGTGATATAGCTTCGAGGAAGGAGATACTCGTCGAGCTTTTTGAGTCCGGTTACTGAGTTAAGATTGTGGTGACTGCTAAATCTACGTCTTCACCTGAGTTCTGCAGTGGCAACAAAATAAGTTCAGATCCTACAAATGCTGAAGTATTTATTTCCGTTGCAACGAAATTAGTTAGGATATATTAACCAAGTAAAATAAAAATGAACATCTAATCCCACAATATAACATAAAGCACTAAATCCAAACTGTATTTGTAAGAACCCAAATCAAGCCAACATGGCAACTCTAAACTGCACAATTGCTCTTCTGATCAGATACATTCCAATTGGAGAGGCACCCAAGCCTAATCAACTTAAAAGGTTAGGGCTTTTTACGTACATAGCACCCAAAGGCCAAAAAATTGCTATTTACAAATCTAGCATGGCATTTCATCTATTTTTGAAATTCTCACTCAAATATCAAAATCCATGATAAGACCCCAACCCATGTTTTTCATTTTTATCAAATTCTCAATGGCTTGATTGTGGGGCGCGCAAATACATGGGTTTGACGGTTCAAAGTTGACACTTCAAAAAATATCACCAGATTGCTAGATTTTATCAATAGCAATGTTTTGGTTGCTAAACTTAATGAAACAACATAAAATTATAACCAAATATATTATAATTAACTAACGAAGTTGTACAAGTTGATTATTGAATATACAGTGCAACTTAACACATATTGACATGGTTACACCTCATTTTTTTAGGGGCATTTACCTAAATTTTTTATCATGCCACTCAAATCTTTGACAATGCATAAAAAAAGACCACTATTATTAACTTCTTAAAAGAAAAAATACACCTGTTCATGCACAAGTTTTAGGACCAAAGTGTGTTAAAAATGCAAATATCAAACTTTAAATGTTAGATATGTAAATACATAAGAAAGGTGTGGTACATATGTAAATATAAACTTGAAGGTGTTAGATATGTAAATACTTATTAATTAATCAACTATGAATGCATAAAATTGTCTTATCACCAAATGATGGGTGCCTGCAATTTGCTAACATTCCTAACATCAATCAATCAATTAACCGAATAAATAAAAATCAAATAACAACTATTTGATATGTGAACATGTATTGCTAACTTTAAAAATTGAAAATTCAGAAATCATTAATATTTAAAAAGTTCACAAGTATTAGTTGCTCAGCAAACATAGTCAGAGGCATACTTTATTAATTTAGGGGCAATAGCATAGAGACCACCTGAAACCTAATATTTACAAATCAACCCCTCTCTTTCATCCATTTTCAAATTCTAGCTCAAATATCAAAATTCATGGTAAAACGCAAGCCAACCCATCTTTTTCATTTTCATCAAATTCTCAAAATTCACGAATGCAATTGAAGTTGCAGTTCGATACGCCTTGTTGAAAAGGTCGCGTATGTTTTCTTCAGATGCACCTAAAACAACCCTATTGTTTAGTATGATAGAAATCTCAGTAGCTGAAAAAAAAAAGTTGAAAGCTTGTAATTATGAATAGCTAAGATGCTTCAATCTCTATCTGGAATCATAAAAGCCAGTTGGATGCCATTCAAGCACAAGGAAAACTTGATCATTCTTCTAAATATGGAACATCTAAAAGTAAATCAGTAAAAATGCGGCAGCTTTACTCTACCCGAGATACCAGAAACCACTTAAGTTGCATAAATTTTGTAGAATGGCACACCAGTCTCATTGGCAATAGCATGAGCGAGCTTCGTCTTCCCACAACCAGGCGGACCATGCAACAATATTCCTACAATTGGTCTCACC